ATTTTTTATTTCTTTATTTTTCTTTAAATTTATGTGTTATTTTTCTTTAAATTTTTGTCTGAAGCCTTGCTTTGAGGCAAGTATGTGTGTGCATTATACATGTAATGTTTACAGGCATCTGTACTGTTTACCTTCACATAAATTCAATGTTAATCACATTATATTTAACGGAAGTTTTTCTGGCATGGTAAACTGGTTTGTGAGCAAATATGTCCGCCTTTCAAGGAGGGGATCTTGGGACTTATATTAAGTTAAAACTTTATAGCTATAACGCACATCCTTATTCTTTCCTTTTCTCACTTGATCAGCTGATTCTAATGAATTCTCAGAACAACTGTCAAATTCCCACCTTGTGTCTCTGACAAGAGTAATTACATCTTAATTCTAAACTTTTTTTCTCTCTCTCTCTCTCAAATAGAATAATTAACTTCCTTCCATATGCCCTCAACCTAACGACTGTGCTTCTGATACTAACTCAAATGGGTGTAAGGGATGCACATGCACCTCCGAGCATCCTTTGTCACTCCCTTAATCTTTTCCCAATGGGTCTTTTAGTCCTCATGTACCTTGGTACCCTAGGTCTCTGTCCGGTACAATATTTCTGACCCAAGAGGAGTTTTGTTGCCCTAACCCCTAGGCAGATGCAACATATACATTTGGAGTATCATGCCTGAATCTTTCTGGATTATTCGCCCCCTCATTAAGGTAAATTTTGTGAGGGTTTTGGCATTATCCACCTGATATTCAGGGATCCAAACCTTTGAATAACTTTGAAAGGGGCTATCCTATCAGCAGGTGTATAAAATTGTGGTTATGGTACTACCATTTAGTGAATGGTTTCTGGACCGTGCAGTAGTCTCCGGTGAGGCCTCTCAATGCCATGATGGTGGGAACTGTTGTGGCAATATCTGTGGAGAGTCAATCAAGGTTATTTATGCATGTCTTTCCCATGGGTGTCTGTTTCATTGCCTACTAGTCATTCACCAAACCAACCAAAACAAACACAAAAGCAATCAAATTGAAAATGAATAAAACTAGCAAACCCAACCTCAAAGAAAAAGTAGATCCAAGTTATACCACATCTTTTATACCAATGTAAGGGGTCTGCATTCCAACTTTCCAGTAGTGGAACTCCATCTTCTTCAGTCTAAACCTAGCCTCCTGTTCCTGTCTGAAATGGGTATCAACACCTCAATCCAATTGCAGGAGCTTACAATCCAGGGTTAATCAACCATTATAACAAAATATGACTACCTAAATCACCACACTCATGGGCTCAGGGCCTACATCAAGGATGGGTTTTCCTGTGGCAGTGACACAAAGAATGGTGATCCTGATCTCCTGTATATTTGTTTCCACATGGTACTTATCCATAGTACCACATTTGTCTTTGCCCTGTATTGTTCTCAGGATGAAGGGTCAGTAATCTTCAATCAGACATCAGAGAGGATTGACAATATCCTCACCGAATTTCCCTCAGCCAACATTCACATATGTGGTGACTTCAATGTTCAACACAAAGAGTTGTTAGTCCACTCTAACAAAACTGATGAGGAAGGCATATATTGCAGAGACTTCACCATCACATATGAACTAATCCAAATCATTGAGAACCCACCTGAGTCCTGGATGCAGTGAAAGAGTAGGTGAAGCTCCTTGACCTTTTTCTAACATCCTGCCCTGACCAATACTCAGCAAAAATTTTGATCCCTCCCATTGGCACATCAGATCAAAAAAGCCACTGGCCCAGACAAAATTCCAGTGTACAGACAACTTCTTCCTTTGAACCACTGCTATATGATACATTCCTTAAGAATATCAACCCAGAATTATTCCTGATTCTAGCAAAGTTAACTGCTGCTTGAAGGGGAAATTTTTCCCAGGTATGTGGAAGTTGGCAAGCATATGCCAGTTTTCAAGAATGCAAGCAAATGATCCTCCCCTTTCCAGTATAGACACATTAGTCTCTTCAGTATCATCAGTAAACTTTTTGAGGCTTTAATCAACAAGAATGTCATCAAGCACCTAGATAGGAACAACCTCATGTGATGAGCAGTATGGGTTTCCATCAGCCCAATCCACTGCTGATGTCCTCACATTACACACAGAATTAGTGAGACCCTTGATAACACACATGCTGCAAGGACCATAGTATTAGATATCTCGATGGCTTCAGCAAGGTGTGGCTCAAAGGCTTGTTACACAAGCTCTCCAGCTATGGAATCACTGAAAGAGTTTTCTCTATTATAAAAATCCTTCCTAACAGGTAGATCCTTGAAGGTAGTTATTAACAGCCAGTCCTCTAAGGCCATGGCAGTCAATGCAGGCATTCCCCAGGCCTCACTTCACAGACCAACCCTCTTTCTGATTTACATAAATGATCTGCCTAAGAACATATTTTGATCATTTGTAAACATCTATGCCGATGATACAACAATATGCAGGCACACCTCTAAAAGTCTTGATGAGAAGAGATTGGCAGCTGACCTCTCTTCCAATCTAACACTAACTTCCCAGTGGGGAAAAACTGGCTTGTTACATTCAATGCCTCTAAAACCAAACTGGTTACATTCCATCACTGCCAATCAGACCCCAAATTACTGCCTGTCTCAATGAATGGATGCTCCACTGTGCCTTGAGAAGATACTGAGCCTCAAACTCACACCTGACCTTAAGTGGAAGTCTTATATATGATCCATCACTAAAGATGCAGGTAAAATGATTGTCTTCCTGTACTCCTTAAATAATTACCTGACTTCTCATGCTATCCTCTACCTTTATACGAGCCAGATCAGGCCGAAAATGGAGTACTGTTGCCGTATTTGGGCAGGAGCTGCTCAGTCGTCACTTTCCAGTCTTAATAGAGTTCAAAAGAATCTCTGAGTCCTTGTGGAAGAAGAATTATTTTCTACCCTTCAACCTCTCTCTCAAAGGTGGAATGTGGCAATTCTCTCATTGCTCTATTATAACTACCATGAAAAGTCCTCAGACAAGCTGCATCTCCTGGTTCCACTAGGTCTTACCTTCACTACTAAGACCTGTCATGCCACTTACATTGTAGCAAACCACCCTCATTCCCTCTGTATTCCATCAGCAAGAAATGTTCTGCACAGACAACTTCTTCCTTTGAACCACTGCTGTATGATACAGACTCCCAAGCAGATATTTCTTTGATCACTACAATCTTAACTTGTTCAAGTAAAGAGTCAACCATTATCTTCTCCTATTCATATAGACTATTCCTTATTGTAACCCTCTACCTTGATTGACCCCCCAGGCCTTGTACAGGCTAAGGCTATTTCTCTGATCACTATAATCTTAACTTGTTCAAGTAAAGAGTCAACCGTTATCTTCTATTCATATAAACTATTCCTTATTGTAACCCTCTACCTCAATTGACCCCCAGGCCTTGTACAGGGTAAGACTAACTTTACTGTAGCAAAAAAAAAGCAAAAAAAAAGCCAGAAATCCAATCCTAAACAGAAAACAAGTTGTAAACCTTTACTCCTGTTCAAAAGACCAGAGAGGAGGATGAACTGCACAATAGGTGAAACTATCTACTCGTATTACGTGAACCTATCCAAAAAATTCAACAAGTTAGTAAATGTCTTGAAAGGCAGGAAATTAATCTCTCTTTTTTTCTCCTTTTCCCAAATATCTTTTATATATCTTTCATGTAGATTGTAGTTGTAAACACATGACTTGGCACATAATTATAACTTTAATTTCTAAGTGTGTTGAAAGGTAGTAAAACTTAATTATTATACATGTTAAAAATATGAAACTTTGTAACATGATAATCTGATATAAGTTTTAAATGATGTACAGATTCTATCTTTTTATGTGAATTATACCAACTAAATTCTACTTTAAGTTGGTTTCTTTTAAGTTTTATTAATATTTAATAAAAATAAGTTTTATTTGTAGTAGGTCAAAATGTTTTAATGATGTATCTGGTATACTAATTTACACTATTTACATTTGGTCAATTGTCCTCAACTTTTGTTCTTGTTATCACGTTTCAGCCATTCTACTCCCAGCCTTCATCAGGTGTATATCAATCCGCATAACCTGAATTTGAAACTGAACTCTTTATTTAATCTAAGGGGGTAGTCTGTTCTCATTCCACTGCTTGTGTCTAGGGATAGCTTGACTAGTTCCTATTTTTGAACTCCTCAGTTATTGTTTTCACTGAGCCCAAGTGCACACTGCCAGGCCCAGGGATTGAACTCACAATCACTATTCAATCCTCCCTTCTACCTCTGTAAATTCAGTTAAGTGTTCAGTTCAGAATTCCCTGTAGGTTACCTGGATTGATCAAAAGTTATGTGCCATGCGTGATACATGCTTAGGCGATCTTGTATCTTTCAATACATGACTAACAAGGCAGATTTTTTCCCACAGTAGGTTGCCATGTCTTTCTGTAGTAGACCAGTTGCCACCCCAGGCTATAGAACCTGGTCTGTCATGCTATTTACCCATAGCTGGAGAGAGAAGAAGAGGATTCATACCTTTCCCAAGGGTGTTAGCACATAAGTGAATGTAATGAATTCAACTGGAATTCGAACTCAGCTCTCTGATTCCTCAATCTGAGCCACTATCCATTACTCCACCATGCCTACCAGATTGATATATGTCTGATAAAGGTCAAACAGCATAATGGACAAAATATTGTGATAAAAACAACTAAAATGAAGACAATAGTCTGAATACAAATAGTGTAAATAATGATAACTCCTCATTCCAGAAAGTCAGATATCTGTTATGACTTAAGAGTATAAAATTTTATCAGATTTTTTTTATATAAATCTTTATATTTATTCATGATACTTATGTAATAATTAGTGTGAGATACTAATTATTAGTAATTATTATTATTAATTAATAGAATTTGTTACATGTTTCCGTCTTCATTTCATAAAGCTACACTGCCAATACCTGAGTTGAATACTTATTTGCTGACATCTTATTTATTTTTTACTGCTTGCTTTTTTTTTCAGACTCGAAAAGACTCAAGTTTAGCATCCTTTCTGCAACCATTTCAAGACACCTTATGGATCTTAGTTGGACTGTCTGTCCATGTTGTGGCACTCGTTCTCTACCTCCTCGACCGGTTCAGCCCATTTGGTCGTTTTAAGTTGGCCAAAAGCGATGACACAGAGGAGGATGCTTTGAACCTCTCAAGTGCCATGTGGTTTGCTTGGGGTGTATTACTCAACAGTGGAATTGGAGAAGGTAGGCATTTATTCTCTTCTTTCTTGTTTTTGTTTTCTGCATCTTGATTAGAATTAAAGAAAATGTAATTCTGTATTAGGATTAAGTTCATGCTCAGGTTGTATAACAGATATCATCATGAAAAGTGTAATTAGCAAGCTGAGTTCAAACTCCTTCTTTGTCTGAATTTCTAGGAAAAGGAATAATCCTTATATTATTTACATGCTGACTATTGTTTCCATCTTTGATATTGTTATCACAATCTTTTGGCTGTTGTGCCATCTGTCTTCTGAGTTTTTCCATTCACATTTACACAAATTCCCTTGAGAAAACCATCTCTTCCCCACCCAGCTATGAGTTAAATAGCAGGGCAGACTATATTCTCTTGCCTTGAGTGGCAACCAGTTTAAGAGAAGGAAAATTCTGATTTCAAAACCATGGAGATGGCAGCAGGAAACTACTTCACTATCTTCTCAATGGTAATTCACAGATAATAAAGAAAAGGAAGCTGTGGACAGTCATGATCACCTACATCTTGAAGAGATATCACATTTAAAAAAATTATGATTAAAGAAATTAAAAATATTCTTTACCTATTATACATTGATTCAGTTGGATAAATCTCCTGATCTTTAATGTTTTGACCACCCTACTCTCTGACATTCCTTGGGTGTCTGTTACATTTAGTAATGTTTCAAGAATAAAAGCCTTTTATTTGATTCACTGGGGTATGCTGTTCTCATTTGTCACATCAAGTGTCTTTCCTAGAGAATTTCAAAACTTGTGTCATTTTCTCTTTATGGCACATATTTGTCCCTTTCTCAGCTGGTATATATTTCTACAATACTCAGTCCAAGAATTTAACTCATTCTGTTGATAGCATCAGTTTTCCCAGTGTTTTTATTCAGATGCCCATCCTTCCCTATAGAATAGGAGACTTGGGGAAGGATTTTTCTTGCCTTAAATTTTGTTTGATATTTTTCTTCAATCATCTGAAGTGTCAAGAGGAAGTTTTGTCTTCATTGTATACATGTATTATTACTACTTACTTTCATGATATCAAAATGATCAAATTTCAATGGTTTGCCCATTTAAAATAATGTACTTATTAGAAAATATATTCAGTTTAAATACAAAAGGAGTCATAAAAATAACTTCAAAAGGCCAGGAATTCTCACCAGACAGAAAGGAAAATTTGTGTATCTACATTTACATGTGTTTGTATTTTTTTTTTATCATTTCACCCCAAGCAAGGCAATAAAACCACTAAAATGCAAGGGTAGTAGCAATAGAATCTTTCACTGCTCTATCGCTACCACCATGGAAAATTCTCAGATGAACTGCCTCTCCTGGTTCCACCAGATCTTACATTCATGACTAGGACCCACCATGCTACTTACATAATAGCAAACCACCCACACTCCCTCTGTTTTACATAGGCAAGAAGTAAGTTCCACTCAAACAGCTTCTTCCTGTGAACCATTGCCCTGTAGAACAGACCCCCACAAGGATGTTTCTCTGATCACTACAATCTTAACTTATTCAAGTAAAGAGTCAACCATTATCTTCCCCTCATATAAACTACCCCTTAACATAACCCTCTACCTTGAGTGGACCCTAGGTCTTGTACAGGGTCAACCTTACTGTAAAAAAAGCAGATTATGATTGACATTGCATTTAAATTTTTGAAAATCAAACTTGACTGGGAAGCAAGAGGCCAGGAGAGAGTTCCACAAGTAAGAAGTGTGAGAAAAGAAACTGTTAGCAAAGAACTTACAGTTACATCTAGCCATTTCAACTGTAAAAAGATGAGACCTTGCAGCCAATCTAGGATTGCACTTAAATTCATAAAGTCTAGGTACCATAGAGGAAAGTTTATCAGAACAATTGCCATGAATGTATTTATAGAAAAGGCATCGGTAAACTGTTATGGCTGTGGGAAAGCGATTGAACCTGAGATACCAGGTCAGGACCAGTAATATTGCAAATTTTTCTTTGGATTTTATGAAGAAACTTCTAAATGTTTAGCAGTATTCAAAGCAAGGAGAAATGGAAGACTTATAGATTCTGACAAGAGAAATTATCTAGCACAACATGGAAACTAACTGTTCTAGTAGCTGACCTAGATTTGAAATAATCTTTCTACTTCATGTCAGCAGAAAACATTAGTCCAAGAAGATGCAATGAATCACTTTCCTGGAGGTTGGCATCAGCTAAGCTTATAGAAGGTAAAAAGGGTTCTCTCAGAAGATTAAAAGAAAGCAGCTTCATTTTGGAGGCATTAAAATTAAAAAGACATTCCTTGCCCCAGTTAACAGAAAGTTGATTGTTTTTGAGATCAGCTGTCAATTTGACCTTATCATACCACTGAGACATACTATTAAGACAGGAATATTTTTATTCAATGACAGGCTAAATTTTTCTACAAAATTAAAAAAAAAAATTAAATAATTCTATTTATTACTGAATAATTTCTGAAAAGTTCAATAAACAATTTAATTATCACCTGTTGATTTTTTAGGGTTTAAATTTTCTTTTTTTTTTTTCTCCAACTTGATGATTTTATTATTCAACCAAGATAGGGGTTGTCCAGACTGAAGAGAGGTGAATGTCAAACTCAGATAAATTGTTTGTGTATTTGAGTGTTACAAGCACATCTAAGTCACTCACATACAACACAAACATACATGCCTACAAAGTCATATGCAGACAGGTGTGAAGGACAGAACATCAACTTTTATAATATAGGTTATTATTCTTTGAATATTTCAAATGATACATTCTTCAGCCTTCCTCAGGTGTTTGCTGAATCAGGTGTTTTTTTTCATCGTCACTATTTCTATATATGCCATATCCTTTCATGGCTTTCCAAAACTTCCTATACTTTGTAACATTTTTCTCAGCACCTATCTGTAGATCCATATCTCTATTGCCTCTTTTATTTTTCATCTGTGAAGGAATTGTTCAATATTCACTGCCATATAGGAGGATTCTTATTACATAGTTCAGCAGTCTTTTCTTGGTTTCTAATGACACTTTTCTCCTTCTTAATACTTTGTCAAGGTTTTGGAAGGCATCTTTTAAAATTACAAGCTGCTTTAAAAGTGCATTTTCTGTTGTCTCTTGTAATACTTCCTAAAATATCAATTAGTCATCAAAAAGCAATCCTCTATATTTTGGATTGTAAGTTAAGAAGATGTTATAAGAAATATGTTCCTCTTTTATATACCATGTCCCTTCAGGATGTGGGTGACCATGGTTCTCCACAATTTCCTGTCCTATGTAGCTCTTAGTAAAGTTTGTATCCACACAACTTCAGTAGGTAGGTTCTACACAGATTTCTTTTGTCCCTCTTGCCTTCAATATGTCTTGTGAGTATCAAATTTTCTAAGCTCTCCTTTCTCATTATGTTCCCTAGAAATTTCAACTATCTCTTTCGTTAAGTATAAGTTTCATTTTGTTTCCATTTTCTTTACAACTTCATTGTTGCTCACATGTTCATTTCATGGTATTCTCAGCATCCTTCTGTAGAACCATATTTCTGATGCTTCAAGTCTCTTTGTCATCTGTGAGAAGATTGTCCAGCATTCACTGCCTAATAGGAGGACCAATATTACATAACAGTTTGATACTCTTTTCTTAGTTTCTAATGAAATTTTCCTGTTTCTTAATACTTTTCTTAGCTTTTGAAAGACATCTTTTGCTATCTTACTGCACCTTTGGATTTTGGTGTTACATTTTTATCCTTTATTACAACACTTCCTAGATATTTTAATTTTTGTACTTGCTTGATTTTGGCATCTCCAATTTGAAATGTTTTGGTTGTTCCTTTTACTGACAAACATACATTTTATCTTCTTACAATTGATGCTTAGTCCATTCTTCTTGCTTTCCTTTACTACATTATGTAGGAGTTCCTGTAGTTTTACTGTGTCATCTATCTATCTGATGTAGTTAAGATTTTATCTGCCAATAACGAATCATGATAGAACTTCTAATTCTATCAGGATTGCTTCAAGGTAAAGGTTGGAATAGTCTGGTGAGAAGACACATCCTTGTCTTATGCCCCTTTGTTGGTTTCAGTCCTACTGCAAAACACTTTGCTCTCCTCAGTTTGTAGGCAGAAGCACAGAAATGCATGCTGGGATTTTTTCTAGCCAATAAAATAGGTTGGTTCTCAGTTTCATCTGACTCAGTCCCAGTCTGTCTTGAAGTCAGAATGCTATGTTTGCTTGTTCAAACCTTCTCTTGTGTGTTGACACCAATAATTAGTTTGTGAACTTTTTGTCATATTACTGTTGCTTTGCCTTATTACTGTTAATTTGCCTTGCATATATTGTTTGCTTGCATTATATCATTTTTTGCCTTGTTCTTTTCTTTTTCTTGTTATTGCTTATTGCAAACTTTGTTAGTTCTATTTGTTGGAGAGTTCTGTTAGTTATTTTGTATTTAACCATGGTTACTTACTCCACACCCATTAAAACCTTTTAGGTATTACTCCTGATCTTGTACATATATCCTTCTCCTTGTTATTATTTCTCATGAATTTGCTGATCAGCTAAAGGAAGATAATCCAATACTTAATCTTTAAAAGATTTTGAAATCCTTTTATTTTTTTCTTATCAGATAAAACAATGGGCTTGATTAATGTTTACCAAGCACATAGTCCTGGAGGAAGATGACTTGAATAAAATAGTTGATAATAGAATGAAGCCTCATTGACTAAAACAGTGATGAAATCTCATCACAATATGTTGACAAGTATACTTCAGGTCCCATTGAACCATTGGATTCCTATAATTGAACTATTGTTGCTACGTTATCTACTGTTAATTGCAATTAGGTTGAATTTAATTATGTACTGAAGGTGGATCTAACAGAATTAATACCCAAGGCTACCTTATTTAAATTATGAGTTGTTATTTTTAGGATTTTGTTGAATTTATTCTTCACCACCGTAATTATCAGCACTTTATGTGTATTTTATCAATGCTGTTTAGTCAACTGTTTTATTTAAATTT